AGGGGAATTTAACAAGTTCGATAAAAGATAAGGTCAAAGGAGGCTCGTTTTCTTGTGTCCCTTCTATACTGAACAGAAGAAAATATCCTCCTTCTAAGCCAGTACAGCACACGGTACCTTTTCCCACTGAGTACGAGAAAACAATTACAGAGAATGCTCTCCATTATATAGAATTAGCATTGAGAAAATGCCCACAAGAAAAGATTTATCTTACCTCAACCAAAGCAAATTTCTCCTCACTAGTATAATTGTATCTTGTTGCTCTTTCATACTCTTCTGCATTGTCAGGACAATCTTTATTAGAGTATTTGTCAGTTGGGTGTACCAGCTTCCAGGAATACTGCAGTTCATAGAGCAAAATGGGAGAGAATGGAAAGAAACATGTCTGAGAAACACAAGAACACTGACACAGTATACATTCTGAATACAAACAACTTCCTTATAAAAATTCCAATGTGGTCAAGAATATCTGAAAAATATGATCTGGGAGTATTCTCAAAAAGTTATGAAACTACAGTCTAATATAAATGCCAGGCTCAGTAATTTGCCTAACAAATCTTCTTGAAAGACAGATACTCTGTATTGGCTCAAACATTGTAATTCACACTCGGTAATGCACTTCAGGATATCTCTTCTGCTGAGGCAAGGTCCTCAAAGAAAGTCCATTCTGGAACTGAGAGGATAAAAGCAGAGCCAAGAATTGTATCTTGCTATAGAGATACACTAAAGTAGAACATTGCCACTGAAGAGAGTCTCAATACAGTAATTTGTAAAGAGATAAATAACAGGAGCGAGATTGGGAAGTGTAGCGGTCCGAAACAGAGAGCAGCAACATCTCTTAAGAAACAGAAAAGGAGAACAAGATTTACACCATAAAACACATTGTTGATTGAAACAGGAGAAACTATTACTCATCTGCTAGCTTTTAGAAGAGGCAGTTAAAAACACACAACAGGGATGTTGTGAAGGCCTAGCTATGCCTTCTGTGACGACAGACTCAAGCACTGCTCCCTCAGATGCCAGAAGCAAGGCAGGAAGAAGCCTGGCTTCTCCACTCATACAACACATGATCTGTCTTCCTCTCTTCTGGATCATGTTTTGGTGCAGGTTATGAAATGCTGCATTTATCTAAGTGTCTGAGACATGAAAAGGATTTTTCTCACTCTAAGTCTTAAGCAATTGCATACTGAAAAAAACAGGCACTTTTCTAACTGCCTCCTGTTTTTAAAATAGACTATTGAAATTAAAATACACAGAAACGAGACAAAAAATGTATTTCCTCTCCCTCTGCTCTGTTTTCTTATACCCATATTTAATTTCCTCATGACTCACCTAATCTTAAGCCAATGGGGAACTCACTAAGTAAGCACGCCTGAACACAGCCATCTGCCCGCTACTACATCACCTCCCATCGGACTGTGTGCTCCTATGGATATTGCTAGCAGAACAAAATTTAAAACAACTTTTCAGGGAAAATAAATTAAGTCCTATATCTACAAAATGAATGGCCCAAGAGCTCAACAGCAAAATAAAAATATGTGGTCCGTGTTCACAGACAGATGATCACCTATCCGTTAAATACAACAGGTTGAATATACAGCATGAGTTCGTGCCTGCTACTGTGTCTTCGAAACAGCACTGCTACCCAAATCGTGCTCAGCCTTTACTCAGACAACGTACCACTTCCATGACGTGCGCGCTCCACTGAGAGAGAAGCTGCAGCCCTTGCAGGGAGAGATCAAAGAGCTTCCGATACTCCGCGTCCGTCTTCTGGGCCTCCTGGCGCCCAGAGCCCGTCACCACCTACCAGGTTATTGAGCAAAGACATCAGAACACGCCGTGCCCTGCACCTAGAGCCAAACTTCCACACGGCTCTCCAGAAAGCACTGAAACTGCATCATAAATCATTGCCCACCTACAATACATTAATATCAGGTTTTTCTGCTAAAACTTATACAGTTAAAAATGCACAATTTTGGTCTAGAGATCAAAAGCACCAGTAGCCTTGATCAACAAAATGTTATTGCAGTTCAAAACAAGCCACCACTTATATACAATGTACTGTATGTGTGTGTGTGTACACAAACATTCAAACTTTCTTAACTATGTTCTTAACACTCAGTTTTGTCTGAAGTGTTACAAGCACACACTTGTGTGCTAGGGCTAGACAACCTCTTACGACAGGGCCGGGCAGAAGCTCTGGCATATATAAGTAGAGGAATACTGCAATTCGTATCATGTACTAAAGATTCATATTTTAAATTGAAAGATCATAAAAATCATGCAGAGACTGGGCACCAACTCTGCAGTTAGTTCTTCTTGATTTGGATGGTCAAGTGTTGTTGTTACTTGCTCTTCAGATATTTAACAGCAGCAGCTGCTCTATCACATAAGCCCAACAGGCAGAAACAGCTCTAATCCCACACACCTCACTGTTGCTGTAACGAGCCAGTTCTGAAATGAAACGCATATGGTCCTCTCTGATCTGGATCATTTGCTCACATATATTATATTGGGGACTGCTGCTGGAAGACGTGCATGTCCATCTGTTTCAGAAGATGGAAAAAAAAAAGCAAAAAAAAACACCTGAGTGAGTCTAGGCAATAAACAGTACAACTGGTAGGGCAAAACAAGAATCACAATGATTAAATTCTTTTTCTAAATCTTTCTTTTCCATTTGAGGCCTTTCCTCTCCTCAAACCTCTGCCTCTGTACCTGTACAAGGAAAATTAGCAATAAATTACCTTTCTCGGTCCAAATAGTCCTTATTCCAAGCTATTAAAAGCCTTTTTAGTTCTTTTAGACTGCTACTATTCAATATAAGCCACCATGTGTCTTCAGAAACATACAGGTATGGACAGAACGGCAAGTATTGAAAGGCAGGGTTGCAAGGTGTTTATAGGCCACAGGCAACATTTACCTTCAGATTCTTTTCCTCTATTCATGTTTAATTATCAATGATCTATAGTATGTATAAATGTATTATTAAATACTATTTATATATTATCAAGAGGGACACAAAAATCATGCTACCAAGAATACCATGTTAAATAGCCTTATGCTTTTAGTAGCTCAGTAGGCCCACTGCTGCTGTTTTTCTCTTAGCAATTACATGCAGGTTATATATTTTTTTCTACAGGAATTAAAATGCAAAGCACTGTATCCTAAGTTCCTGTAACTGCATGGATAGAAGGTCTCAAAGGAGCACAGAAACATTCACTAAAACAAAGCAATAATCAGAAACCATGGAACTATTTATGTAAAGACTGACTGCATTTTCCAGCCATTTCGTTGTGTTGCACACCTACTGGGGGGAAAATAAATACATAAATAAGACAAGCTAAGTTGCTGCTCTGTAATACAATATACACATGCCTATTTACCCATGCACTAGTGCTCACCTTGCTCAGTATAATCCTTCATTTCTTTTATAGAAAGTTTCATATTTAAAGGAAAAAATAAAGATTAAATTAGTGTGAGATAAAACTCATTTCCTCCAACACTGGTGATAAGAAATGCCTCAGATACAAGATTAACCCCAGTACCACAGAAAGGTCTCTTAAGAAGCTGTCCCTTTAGGTGTCAGGTACATTAACAGTGAAACATGCTTAAATACCCACACCATAGAGTAGACCAATGTGACAATCCTGTTAGAAACAGGTCGACAGAATTTAGACAGTTTATGAAAATAAATCCCAGAGGTCTCTCTCCCAGTCCCTCGCAGTATCTCTTTGTTTCCTTCCTCCCCTCACCTGGATTTATTTTCCTCATAGTGAGCACTGGTCTTAATGTATCTTGCGAGTTCAATCTGCATGTCACCGAAAAGTGGGACGACCTGCAGCTGCTGTAAACAGGGAATAAAACAGATTACACATGTTATTAAATGCCAATCTTTGTGAGAGGAACTCTTAATTTACTCATATGAAAGTTCATAACGATTTGCATTTTATTTAATAATATAAAACTGTTTGTACATTTAGAATGCAAGGGGAATTCCCTCTAGAATCACATACTGAAAATACCTCTCAACCAACCTTAAAGAACTTGTCTATCTTGGCCAAATTTATCCTCTTCTTTGCATCCAGCTTATAGATGTTACTGACACTTCCATCCATCAGGTACAATCCAAAGCCCATAACCTGGAAAGGAAGGAAAACAAGCCTCTGCAAAACAAACTCAGAGGTAAAAAACTGCTGCAATAAAACTGTTCTTCATGTCATTAAATAAAAGTAACAGTTTAAAATATTTTTGTTTACAGAAAAGAAAGTATTTCAGGAGGTAATTTCAAAACTTCCTGCTCAGGAAAAACATACACTTAATTCAAATATATACATTTTTGTAGTGCTGTTCACTACAAGTACATTAAGAGTATGTTAGTCAGTAAGATCAGCCTAATAGCTACCCCGATATGAATGCTACTTATTTGTGTAAAGGTCCAGAAATCGCACCAAAACTAGGATCTAGCTACTTTTAGACAGTTCTTTGTATTTCCGTTTCAATAGAATACTGTGTGGTTTCAATAGAATGCAATTGCAGTCTAGGTCTAACATCTCTGGATGGTTACTTTTCATGAGTTGTAAATACAAAAACTCAGAAACATTCAGAAAAAAACTCATTATGTTTCCTTCCTCTCTCGTTCCCCCCACAAGTTTACATAAAGCTATAATTCAATATTTACAACAGCAAGCTGACCTGCTGGCTACTTAATCTATTCTAAGCGCACATTTCCTGAACAAAAGGCCTTAACATGAGAGACACTGGATACTCCTCCAGGTAGGATGCTCATGTTCTAGAGGTCATGTATTGTTTCCATATGCTTCAGTTTGATCATCATAAACATAGTTCTTCAGAAGCTAAATACTGAAGTGCTTCAAAATATTTGTCATAGGACAAATTTTCAGTCTTTAATCTAGGCATTTTCTTCCATTACAAAAGAATAGAATCAATAAATGTAATAAGGTACTGGAGAATATGAAATATGGTTGATGTTATTTCAGTTAAATTAACTTACTAACCACTTAAAAGAATAGACACTTGAGAGGAAAAAGAGTCACTAATTTCAGAACAAGAATAGTAATCATTTGAGTTATTTTATAATCTGGTTCTGGGAAAGAAAAGAAAAACACAAAGGGAACTCAGACATCTGTGTCCTGCCTCAACCATCCCTTTTTGATTTTGTAGTAGATAGGAACATACTTTTAAAAGCATGTGTTTCTCACTAGGTGTGAGATACATTTTGTTTTCATAGTAGTCCACACACAAATTCACAATATCTGCAAGCAGCTCCTCATAGCCAACAATCACTTCCAACTGCTGCTGTAAAGACTGAAAAAAAAAAGAGGGAAAAAAAATGCATCAGTCAATGTGAGGGGAGTCAATGTGAGTTCCATCTACTATGGAACTTAAGGGGTTTTCTTTTAATACTTTTGAAAAAGTATTAGGTGTTTTGCAAAAAGATAACTCAAGCTTACCTGAGTTATCTTGTTGTGGTTAGCGAGGAACATGGAAAGATTCTGGGATTCTTGAATAGACTGAGGATCAGCCATTTTACGTAGGAACTGAGCAGCCCTTCAAAAACAGGAGAGAATTTCGCTTCAGCGGGAGAGGGTCTCAACAGAAACCCACCTGGCACCACCTTCCAGCTCCGGCAGAGCTCCAGAATTGTCCTCAGATCATCAATACACACCCAGTATCACTCACTGCTCCCAGCAGGGAGTCAACATCAGCGCACCTTTCCCACCCAGGACAGGTGGCAGGGGCCTTGGAGTGCCAAGGCAAGACTCGAGAAAAGTCAGCCTTCCAGAACACAGTTTGCCCTCCTCAAATTACATTTCCAAAAGGGAAAAAAAAAAAAAAAAGGAATAAATATAGGTGTTTTTCAGGGACAGCAACTACAGAAGGCAATAATCTGCAGAGGCAAAAATAAGATAGCATATAAGTGGAAGCAGCACAGATAAAACTGGCTATCACTGACTGACTAATTATCTTTATGAATGACCTGGCACACACTTCTCAGAGACTAGGGATGTTGGAGCTGGCATAAAGATGCTCTTCCTCCTCTGCATCAGCCACTGACACCATCTGGCAGTGCTGGCCCAAAACCCGGCCATTGACGTCCATCCCTTCATCCCTCCTTGCAACACCAGCATCCCAACAACCTCGAACAGCGACGCTCCAACACCTGAGGGACAGCAGCAATTCCCAGCTCTCCATATTCAATCTGAATGCCAAAAACAGCGGCAGCACAAGTGGACCAAAAGACAGTTCTCTCCAAAAGTTAAAAAGGAGAGCTTTATAGAGCAATGCACATTCAGTACTTTAGTGCACACCGACACAGGGAATTTGATAGTCCTGCGCTAAAAGAGCACAGAACCTTTTGTTGTTGGAAGAGCAGCATTAAAAAAATAAATATATCCAGCCGTTTAACTGCAGTTGCTGCACCTACAGAGTAAAGGCCGCCTGCTTGGCACCTGAAGGGAATTCTTTGGAGGAGAGAGCTGCCATCCCAGGAGCAACTGCTGCCACTTGGGGAGGTTTTGCCGCCTCCGCTCACCGCTTGTAGGCGGAATGGTCGTTCTTCACGCTGCACTTCATGTTCTTCAGCTCATCCAGCACTGCAAACATGTTGATGAACTTGCCCAGCGTGATGAGGTAGGCCTCGGAGACAAAGTCCTTCCTCCTCTCCGCGTGGCACAAGCGCCTCACCTCGCCACAGAAGCGTTCAATCGCGTTTCTCTGAGGGAAATAATAGAAGAAACGGGACATAAAAAACAGCTTTCCAAAAACAATTTTGTCACACAATGTTGACATTCATGTTTTCTCCCCTACAGGCAGGCTTTCACTTTACACACAGACCACTCCAGCACCAACTGTGTGGTCCAATAGAAAGCACCACCAGATTTTTCTTTTTTTTAAGCTTTTGAGCACGCTGCTAGTGATGCTAAGGAGGCACCAGCACAGGCTTTCCAACTCCACTCCTGTTTGGTGCTTCATGTCACAGCCCTGAGCTTGCCTGCACGACGGGCAAGATATCGCTTTGCAAACTGAAGTCACAGAAAGTGAAAATCTCTTTGAAAGAAATGATTTCTTATTCTTTAGTGAGGAAGGACATACACATTAAAAGTCAGATTATTGGCATACTCTCTTAACAGCAAAACAAAGCGAAGAACACCTAGTAGCAGCAGTACATGCTAAGATCGTGGCACATCTGTGTATGAAGGTAGAAATTTCTAATACAAATGGGAATTTCTTCTGAGATTTTTTTACAACATTTTACTCTCTTTCAGTGAAAGGAGACTGCCGCCTGCAGTCAGTAAGATCCCCCACTTCTGGAAGAGGGCAGGAAATGCTACATTTCCTTCAGCCTCCTCTTCCTCTGTGCTGAGGAGGCTCAAGGGCTGCAGCAGTCACAGCTGCCTCTGAAAAATGCCTGAGCATTTAAATGCCAGCACAGGATGAGACAGCAACACGGGCTGCTGTTCTGCAATGTCCCAACAACCCACAGCAGCTGGGATAGTTCACCTCAGTTTTATGAATTTCTGCAATAAGGAGGCATCCAGTGAGATGCTATCCAGCCTTGTGGCTCCCCCACCCTCAACAGTGGCTTTTGGTGCTGAGATGCTCTTTGATATGCATGAGACACACACTGTGGCTCCATTTCCTTTCTTCTTAGAGTGCCAGATCTCCCCCTATGCACTATGTGAGGACCATAAGCAACTACCTTGCACTGTATGCAGGGAATCTTCACGGATGGAAGCTGAAGTTTTTAAGGTACACATTAGGAATTTTGCCCTTCTGTGAGACAGGGTTTTTTTGTAGTATTTCAAAGCTTAATAACCAGGTTCATTATCTGAGCACACAATGCCAAGCACATGAAGCAGGACTACAAACATACATGCCTACTGAAAAGGTTTTGTTTCCACTGCTTTTACCTGAAAGTACATAAAATTCATCAGTTTTGTGACTTCTGGCTCCAGAACTTCCACAGTTTTCTCATAGATTTCTACTCTGTTAGGCTGCTCGTTACACTTGACCTGAGGACAATTACAGACATCGTTACACTCCAAACTCTCCCGGATAAAGCCTGAGAAACTGAAATCCTAAATGACAACTTCGGAGAATATATTGCAACGATAAAGATAAAAAATTAAGGTATAAATGGGAAATGAAGCAAAATATTTCTGTGGTTACTTTATCAAACAAACAAAAAACAAACAAACAAAACAACCACACAGCTCACATGTGCTGAAAGGCATTATTCATATTTGAAATATATATGAAAGACACGCCAAGCTTGCCAATTTGGGAGTCAAAGCAGACCATATTTAAGAGTTCATTAATAAAACAGCATTCATGCATTTCCATACAAAAAGAAAAAAGGGTACATATTACACAGTAGTTTAAGCTTCTTTACCTGAGGAATGGCTCTTGAACAGCTTCTCCATGTGTACAACATGACGGCATATTCCTGACCCTCTTCTAACATTTCATTCTGTAAGACAGACACTCAGCATAACGAGGCATTGCAGCACAAAAGAAGGATTAAACCCAAAGCCTTCCATCCTTCCAAGCAGTTCTGCTCTCTTAGGGAAATGTTTATGTATGAACACACACATACTGCAAATTGAATGATGTATCATACTACTTCTATGTAAAATTATTTAATATTACCATACTATATGGGCATATTTGGCATATTATTTGTATCCGAACAACCTCTGAGTAGATCCATTACTGTAACACGGCTTGACTGTAATCCAGCAACCAAAAATAAATCACAATTAACAATAATAATAACAATAATAATAATAAATCCATCTGTTCTCAGATGTGTTTTAGCAACCACTGTAGTTTTGAGACAATTCACATCACCGTCTTCATCCTACTTAATCCAACAAACACCAGAGCCCTAATCAACAATTCCAGCAATTACACCTGTCTAATGACAAAAAACATTATCTGTCTGGAGCAAATCATCTTTTGTTTCATTCTTTCCGAATACAAGGTGCTAGGATTTACACATAAAACTGCTAATCTGGGAAAAGATTAGATATTTCACCTTCTAGAGGAGTTGGGAAAAAGGAAAAAGGGGCACAGGTGGATTTCAGGAAATGAAGTCAGCACACACTGCAACATGGTCTTTGATTTGCCAGGAAAGAAGGCAAACAACAAGCAAACAACATCAACAACAGCAAAAAGACCACAAGCCACCAGATAATTTTAACAACAGCCTGCTGTACGCTCACATAACTTGTAAGTGGCATCTAATCATGGGTTCAACCTGTCTGCTCCACAATTTGTGTACTGGCTTCTAGGATTACAGCACGTATTACTCTTCAGTTTCCAAGATGCCATGTAACCATCAAGAGCTCAGTACAGCCCAGCATCTATTGCAACACTGCAACACTACCAGCAGATAGTGCTAACAACATGACGTCTCTATCTAAGGCTGTGGAACTGTTAAAACACACAGAAGACCTTACAGAAAAGCACGCCAAGAAACCTCTAGCACCCGTTCAGCAGTGAGAAAGCCAACAGAAACCCTTCAACACCACAAAACTGACAGAAGCAGTCGAAATCTGGGAGGACAGAAGGCAGTTCTTCCTTCAAGTCACAGCAACTAGCTGTCAGTTCAGTTGTCAACACGACTAATTCATCTGAGAACACTGGAGACACACTTAATGAAAGAAAAGAAAAAAAAACCTTGAGCAGCAACACTGGTTGACAACAATCAAGAAGACAGAAAATTCTAAAATTAGAAGTACAGTTAAGGGAGAAAAAAAAAAGAAAAAAGAAAGGCACACACTTTTGCATCTTACTTCATCCAGGAAGTGCTGGAAGCAACAGAGTTTCCTATCTTCTGTGACCAAGATTCTTATAATAAAGGACACAGAGACACACTCCGCTGTTTTTATTCCAGTTCATAGAAAAGTAAATATCTGAACATCTACTTACCATGCTGGAATGCACTGTAGCTTGCTCAATGTATCTTGCAATGCCAGTGACAAATGCATTTCTGTCTTCAAAGTTAGTGTTGAAGTTTGGCTGCAGAGAAAGCAAAATGTAGAATTATACCCTTTGAGGGGAAAAGAAACTACATATACTGTAAATACCAACAGGGGTTTGGGTATTTTTTTTTGAAGAGCACATACTCTCTTCCTAATAGCAACGGGAACTGCAAAAACTCTTCTCTACAGTGACAACATACCTGGTAAAGCAGAGAGGATGGTGGAGGTTCAATGCATGGTTGCTGGTCTGGCAATGGTAATTCTTCCAAAAGATCCACATTGGACAAGGCATCCTCTAGGGTTACTTGAGCAGTCATTTTGCATCTGTGGTCAAAAAGTGTGTATAGGTGTATATACATAGATATGAAGATTGCTATACAAGCTCTCTGGTTAAACTAAAAGGAAAGCTATTCCGTGGTCTTCTTCAGCTGCAAGAAACTGAGAAAAATCCCATAACAAGCACAATTTAAAAATTTTCAAGTAAAATATGAGTTTTGTCCTAACAAAGTCTTCAAATCCTTCTCCAAAATTACTTTGCAAATACTATTACTAGCCCATCTACAGGAGCCAACTACGATCTGGTTATCAACGAGTTATTCTGTGATCCAGTGCTTCCTATAGCAGATTGCCCAAGCCTGTTTCGAGTAGTTAGTGATACGGAGGCCCAAAAAACCTCAAGGTCACAGCGAGCTTGGTTCATCCCCAAATGCTGCCATGCAATCTAGAACCAAGAAGGGCCATGAGAAATTTTAGGAGGAAAACCCAGAGCGAAAAATAGCAACTTAATCGTCTGCTTTCATACAATGCTCTACGAGGTGTTGCCAGAAATCCCTCACTCTTATCATAGTACCTCTAACCTATTCAGTATTTTTGCATTTTTCTTTTTTCTGTAGGGCTTTACAAGTTGCCAAGAGGTTGCTGTACAAGTTAGAGCCAGGCACAGCCCCGAGGTGCCTGACCCACCACCTGCCAGGGCCCGGCTCAACTCCCTCCTCACCAGCTCCTACCTACCCACAGCTTCTGGGGGAGAAGCACTCAGACACGGAGCAGCTTTAGCTTCAAGGAAGCATCGGCTGACAAAGGAAAACCAGAGCAAACAGGAGGAAAACTCACAGAGTTGGTTAGCTACATCTGCAAAAACATTATCTGTGGGTAATCAGTGGGGCCAGAAAAGAGAACACAAGGAAGGTATCAGCCAGAGAGAGAAGATGAAAGTGGAAAGGCGTCGGGCTGGCGGCTAACCTATCTCCCCCACCGCCAGGATGGGGGCAGTACAAACACGCCACACGCCACAGCAGTTCGCTGACAACTTCCAGCATCAACCACCAAAAAAAAGAGTCCACAGGCCTGTTACTCCTTGAGACATCAGCTCAAAATTTGCCTCAGCTCAAGCATATGAAGCTTCAGTAAAATAAGCACATAAAGAGATAACACCCAGATTGCACAATTTCAACCCCTGCTGAAAGTGGTGCAGGACTGGCCTGACCGGAGCGCCCGCTGGCACAGCAGCCCGAGGAGCTCGCCCAGCCCACACCTGGGGCAAGCCCTTTACGATGATACTAGTGACAACCAAGGGAACTTCCTTCAACAAACAAACAAGTGCCAAAAATTCAACGTTTAGCCAAGAATCCTGTGTGCAGGTCAAACTCTAACAGTTTTTAGCCTAAAGGAATGGGGAGGGAGTTTGTAAGAAGCCAGGCTGTTTCAAATAAATATTTTAATTTTTGTTGAAAGCATCTAGAGATCCAGCTTTAACTAAAGGAACACTTGATTTGGCTTAATTTAACTGAGAAGTTGCATCTGACTTGAAACTTTTTCTGCTCTTGGTTTCACTACAAAAATCACAGAATGGTTGAGGTTGGAAGGGAGATGACCCCCCTCCCCAAGCAGGGTCACCTGGAGCTCATGGCACAGAGTCATGTCCGGGGCATCCTGAGCATCTCCAGAAAGGAGACTCCGCAAAATGAGGTATCCGTTTGCCCATCTCCACTTGGGGTTCCTTAGGGTGGGACTGATCATCCCACTGGCTCTCCCCCATCCCATGGTAGAGGGTAGGAGAAGGGCCACAAAACTCCACCAGGTACAACAGGGATGTGCTACAAAGAGCTACTCAACCCATGCTCCAAAAGAACACAGTGAAAAACGGTCACCCGTTCTACACTAAAAGTTACTGTCCATATCCACACAAAGCTAAGCTGCCAGTCAATAGCAAAAAGTAACAACTCCCTCTCCCAAATCCATGCATCTTCCTCGTTCTCCTAATGAACAGCGCATTAGGGATTTAGTGCCCCGGCACAGGCATTTTTCTGCATCCACAAAAGCCAAAAGCTTGTGACCTGTGCGTCCTTAGCACTGCAAAAAAAAAAAACATTCTGGAAGTCATAATCCCTGTTGTGCTTTCTGAAACACTGCCATGTGTGTCATTTTTGGCATTCGTGGCTTTTTTTCTGTGGTTATTCTTCAGAATTTTCTATTTTCAAATTATCAGGCATTAGACTACCCAGAGATTTTTTTGGTTGTTTTTAGTAAGAGATATTAGAAAATTACTTTAAAAAACAGAAAGCAAAACACAAGCAAAACCAGAATCTCATCTTTCTTAAATTGCCGTCTATAAAACAGTGCGCTTTTGAGAAATTCCTTTTACCAGGATAGACACAGAAGGGAAAAAACAAAAACAACAAAAAAAGAAACAGGAGTTTCCTGCTGCAAAAAAAAAAAGAAATGGGGAAGGCACATCAAGCCCCCTCAGCATGATCAACCTGTTTGAACCAGGACAACATAAGCAACTGGGCTCAAGCTGTTTAAAAATAAAATAAAATATAAATAAATAAATAAATAAAAAGGCTTTATTGTTTTAAGATTGCTAGCAGCTTCACTTTGCAATTTTGCCAGCAGTATTGAAACTCTTGGTGTTACTTTGGCCAAGTTAGCACTCAAGGCTCCTTTCTTCAGATTTTTATTTTATTACCACGCGAGATGTGAAAGAGGAACGGGACTCCCTCCTGCCTGGCTTCTAATGGGCTTGCGGACGCCGGGAGGGCAGGACCCCCACGTCCCCTCCTGCCCCGGGGGGCAGCCAAGGCCGGACAAGGAGCGGGGCTGCAGGACGGGGTGTGAGCAGGGCCACGGCCGCCTCGCGGCACCTGGGCCACAGGGGCTCCTCATGGGGAAGCCGCAGGGCCAGCACAGAAAGGACTGTCTTGGGTTCTTCTTTTTCCGCTCTTGTTGTTGGTAACGAATCCAGCTCCAGAAGAAACAGATTGTTTCTAATGTACAAAGATGAAGGTCTGGCAAAAAAAAAAAAATCTCCCCTTTTTTCCCCCACTACCTTTCAGAAGAAAATAATTTCTGAAGGCTCAAACTGCCAAGACGCAAAGGTGGATGTTTTTGCTTAAGACGCTCAGAGCTCACTCGAGGAGTTCATATGGCTGCAATTACCAGGCGAAAGTGTTGATACTTTAGCAGACTCCCTCTTGACAGAGAACACAAGAAACTTCAAAGACCTGCTTTAAAAATCCAGAAGCCACAGTATGATTAGCAGTTTACCTAAACGGGGACAGATTAAAATGCTGTAGTTAACAATAATGTCGGAATTACCAGTGTAAGTGAGTAAATGTACCCTAACTGTGAGAATTACTTTCTCACTAAATCCACATGAGGTCATGTATTGAGTTTTCCAGCTGCTTGAGATCTTCCAGGAAAGATATTCTCATGCCAAAGACATGCAAGAACTACTTTTTACATAATCTCTTTTTTTTTTCTTTTGGTCATTTTTGTATCCTGACCCCATCATTACAGCCCTAAGGTCAAAATGCCTTCCAAGAACAGGTTTTCCTGGATGCAAGCAATTAAAAACCATTCAGTGCTTCACCTCCCTTCTAGGATGAAAGAGACGTTGGACTTGCCTTTCACATGATATAATCAGAAACGAGCAACCAGCTTTCTAAGCAAAAGACAGCAGTGTGTGTGCACTGATTTTCAGCTCCTGTAAGGACTTTTTCTGAATTTCAAAACCAACAGCCAAGAAATCTCTATCTCTGGCACAGACAAGGTTCAGTCTTGCACTGCTAAGTCCCATGGGACCCCAGAATCAGATCTGTGAATTCCAGGATTTATCCCAGAGTTTTTAGGCAAACTCTGGGTTATGTCATGTTCGTATGGCTCTTAGTTGGCACATGTTAGCGGTCAGTTAGGTGACCAGGTTAAACTAGGACATTTCTCTTTTCCCTCCATCTTAAAGGAGGCAAGCACTGGACCAGCCTGACCTGCTGTCCCTACAACATCTTGGCCACAAGAAAAACAAATCAAAACAAGGCACCTGACCTTGAAGCTCCTTCAGTTTCATTTACATTCTCACCTACCTGCATAGCTGACTCAATACTGGACCATAACAGACACATCAAGACCTCTCCAAACTATTTGGAGAGGCTCTGCACCTTGAGACCATTGGCTGCCAACCGTTCCAAAACAACCTGGAGTCCTTGTTTGCAGCCTTGTTTGCCTGGAGTGCTTGTTTGCACATGTGTGGCACAAGCACAGCACCCTGCTCACAGCATCGCTCTGGTATCTAGAGGAGGCAACAGGCAACCCCGAGCACAGACCCCCTGTGTGCACGTCTGCATCCCAACAGAACCGCGTTGAAGGCTCTGCAGAAGATCTACGCTTCCAAGACCAAGGTATCAGAAAATGCCCTGCATGCTACAGCCTTGCCCTTTGAAGCCAGCTGAGGCTTCAGACATTCGGGAAAAAAAGGGAAGGGGAGCATCATCATGAAGGGCGAGTAACAAGAAAAAAAATCTTGTGGGCAGAACAAAACAGAAGAGAGATAAGAAGCAAATAATAATAACGACAAAAAGGCCTGAGAAAGCAGATAAAAAAAACCCACTAATTTCAAAATCACCGTGGAAGAGCAGACTTCCAGCTTTCAGCTTTCAGGGTCAAAGCTTAAAAAATAACTCTCAAAAATTCTAGGGAACTAAGAAATTTCTGAGTTTTAAAGATTTCTTGCAGTAATGGACTTAAGCAGATCAAATTATTTATCAAAAAAGATCTAAACACAACATAGGCACAGTCTATAAATAACTGAAACAGGAAAATGCTAGATGACAGGAGATAGTGTGCAAATGTGCAAAGGCAGCCAAAACTCTGACAGAAGTAAACTGTATCTAGCAAGCAAGTCTTAAGAAAAACGTGTAAAGCAAATGAACTTAGGTAACTGCAGGCTTCTCAGCACTTTTTAAAAATGCAGAAACTCGCAGGCAGTTCCTCTTTAGCCTCTGCACAAAGCATTTGCTCAAGACTTGCTCAGAAACGGCCCGTGGTAGCCTGAAGAAG